TATTCTGTTATATAAGTTTTTAGGTTGTCCTGTCCTAAAATGGTACCTTCGTCTTGCTCAAGCTGAAAGATTCTCTTCTTTCTATGTTTGCCATTAGCAATTAAGTGGAAGAATTGGGTATTCGCGTCCCCCTGGACAACTTTGCGGACCTTAGCCCGCAATGCCCACTTCAATTCTTCTTCGCGAAGAAGTTCTTTCAACCTCTTCTCCGCCTCGATTTTAACCTGAAGCTCTGCTGGCTGCAACATCGTGGATTCAGCCTGTATGTCAAGGGTCTGAATAGGAGAAAGGAGCCTGTCCTTTTCAATCTTATACACCCCACTAAGGTGTTTAGCCCAGCCCCTTAAGAAACTTCTCAAATGCCTAATCTTATTCTGCCAACGCTCGACCGAAGTCCTACCTCCTGCACCCTTAGCCCATTCCCTGGCAATCAGGTCCAAGAAACCTTCGTGTTCAAACCAGGCCATCTCGAAAGAAAAGGTATTTTTGTTTCCCATGTGGTTCGGCTTCCCCGAGTCCACAAACAAAGGAGTGTGATCGGATATTCCACGTGAGAGGGCTTGTACTGTTACGAGAGGGTACTTCTGTTCCCACTCAACGCTCACGAGAACTCGATCAAGCTTTTCATACGTTGGGTTTGGCATAGCATTAGCCCAGGTAAACTTTCTACCAGAAAGCTCTATCTCCCTCAGATCCAAACTTTCAATAATGGTATTGAACATAAACGACCACCTGCCGTCAAAATTATCGTTGTTCTTCTCCTCTCTCCTCCTAATGATATTGAAGTCACCCCAACCAAAATTGGAAGCTGCTCAGACCCACAGATTCGAACAAGGTCCGCCAAAAACTCCGGTTTTAGCTCGGGCTGTGCGGCACCATATACCGCCACCAAAGCCCAGTTGAAACCATCAGTTTTAGACCTGACTCAAAACTTAACCGCAAAGTCACCCATCACTACGCTGCGGACTTCTAACGAGTCGCATATCACACCAAGCAAGATCCCACCCGATCTTCCTCGCGGAGGAAGGCAATGCCAGTCGAATTCAACACCGCCCACAAGAGAGGTAAGAAACTGGGGCGCAAAGTTCTCACGTCCAGTTTCCGAGAGAGCAATAAAATCTAAACGATGCTCTAAAGATGCCTCAGCAAGAAACCTTCTTTTAGCCAAGTCTTTCAGACCTCTGCTGTTCCAAAAGATTCCTTTCATATTTCATTATGAAATTTTTTGGTAGTCTGAATCCTAGCACTCCCATGAACCGTAGAAGTGGGGTAAATCTTCCGCTTCCACTTGCGTTTGGGTCTACTTTGATCCTCCATTTGGTCCTCATAACCGGGCACAGTGGGTCTAGCTATATCCTCCTCTAGAGTTGCATCCTCTTCCTCAGACTCAGGATTGGATGGTGCAAGATCCGCACAAAGATTATCGAGCACTCTAACCCCTAACGCATCAAACTCTGCATCGTTCATGGGTTTTACCGCAGCTAGGTTTCGAATTGTCTCTAAGGCACGCTCCGCCTCCAAATCTAGGAGATCATTGACCGAATTGAATATTTCACTATCATTACTCCCCAGTGAAACTCCTAGTTGGTTTGCATTATGAATAATCTCCGCATTTGAATAATGTAAAATTGAATTAGATACGTTGACAGACATACCAGTAGTGACTTCAATGTCACGAAGCTTGGCCGCCCGCATAGCGCACCTCTGCTGCATGTCGTCAACCTCCGGAAAATCCTGGAGCCGGCGACTCATCCGCCGTCCCTCAGATGTTGGATCCGAAATCCCTCTGAACGTGATCACTTCCTCCCGAGAGGGCCTACAGACATGAAGGCCTCCTGCCCTGCCCGTAAGCCCCACCGATATCCGCCTGGAACCGACGCCATGGGGCTCAAGCGCGCCGGGGGAGAGGAGTTTGTGGGCCTCCTACCCGAACTCCCCACCCGTCCCGACCCTCTGGCTGGGAGGCGCACAGGCGCCCCAGTCTGTGCTGCCACCAAGGCCACCTGAGGAGAGGAGGGAGCCGCAGCCACCTGACCATAGCCCCCTCCCCTAGGCTCAACCACCGCCGTTGGAGAGGCCACGGTCAGAGTGGGAGAAAGAGAGGCCACCTGCCCAGACTCCTTCCTCCCTCCATCGGTCGAGTCTACCAGAGAACAAGCCACCTCCGTTACCGCGAGCACCGGATCCTCAGCAGCGGCAGAAACCAGCGGAGGGAGCGTATACTCCAGCTCATCATCGTCCTCCACCCGGTCACTCCAAAGTCTGGGAGGTGCAGAAGCTGGCTCAAACGACCCAAATCTCGGCGTGTTCATCAGCATTGAGGGGGAGGATGATGTCTCGTCCACGGTTGTCTGAGCAGCGGGACTTGAAGCGTTGGACATCTCACGTCCAACCTCAGCTCCGGGCGCCTCCTTGGCCGCAGAACTATCATCTCCCTCGTGCATGTCTGTATCAGTCCCATTGATGGCGTCAGCGAAAAGCTCGGAATCCTCAAACTCAATCTCAAGTGGGAACATTTCGCCCTGATATGTCCACATAACCACATCAGGCACAAACTCAATATCCCGAACACTCACCAACAGACGAGCCACCCCGTGAGCTCGGGTAAAGGCCATATCCACTCGCTCAGTCTTCCCTACCAAAATGCCCAAGCTAGAAACGACCTCAGCGTCCTGCATCGGCTTTGAGGGAGCTCCAGAGAAACGTAACCACACCCGAGTAAGAGGCTTGCCCTTTGGCTCAACCTTCTTCCACTCGTGGAACTCCAGAATACACTCTGTGCCAGGCACACGGCACAGCCCGAAACTCAAAAGTCTCTACAAATCCTGAACAGATGGGAAGTCAATCTTATACATATTACCCTCAATACTGACAAGCTCCCACTGGTAGTCACCTGGAACTAACTCCATAAGCCTCTGCACAATCTGAGACTCGGATACATCACATTTGGTCACTTTCACAATTCCAGTAGTCATGCACAGAGTCTCCTCTGGGATCTCTCGCGCACTAGGGGACTCAAAGAACATCAGCTCAGCACAATACACACCATATATAGAAATAGTGGGCATCCGATCACGCAAGATAGGACACTCCCCCGTACCATGTGTCGGCTTGCTGCAAGTATCACAAAGCTCAGTTATGCAATCCGCAATAAAGTGGCCCTTCTCACCACAACGATAGCATAGCATCTTCCCCTTCTTGCGTGCCCACTTGGATGCTCTATCTGACTCTGCCTTGTCTTCATTATCAACCGACCCCGACGCTGTTGCAACAGCCGTTGCCAGCTCTGTGACCACCTCCATAGCGTGATCTGACAAATCCGGCGTCTGACCAGGATCGGGCGCCTCCATGGCGTCTGTCTGCTCAATGACGACAGGCAGAGGAGGATGACATTGCCGGTACCGGCCACCTCGACCACGTTGACCACGGTAGCCACCATGCTGCCGGTGGTTAGGGCCTGATGCCCCTTCAACAAAGCCACCCGGGGGACCATAAAAAGGTCTGTCAGGTGTGTCGTCGCTTTGCCAAGCATGACCACGTCCACCACCTGTGGACGACGAACCTCGGTGTATACCTTCACCATAAACATCATGACCGTCGTCTCCCCATTGACCCCGCGGCGGTCCGTTAGCTCCACTGTTGGCTGGTCCACGGGGCACTCCCGCTCCTCCAGCTCCAGACTGAGGCGGCGGAGTCTGTGCATGCACCGGGCCAGGCCGCTTCTGCGGTGGCCGCGTAACTAGATGAGGCGGTGGCGCAGCGCCTATAGCCGGTCTAGGTGGAGGTGGCCTCGGACCTTGCGCCCCGCCCCGCCCCGCTGTAGCAGGCGCAGCCAGGGCCCCGTCCTGAGTTGCTGCTGGCGCCGGCGGCCTGGGAGCAGGCAGGCCGCCACGACCCACAGCCGGCACCGAAGGCCGGACACTGTGGTGGCCACCACCGCGGCCCAACGTGCCCTGCGGCGCCTCGGCCCCCACCGAAGAACCCGTGGCGCCCCGCCCAGAAGCTGTAGGCGGCGGCGCAGCAGTCCCGCCGCGCCCGTTCGCAACCACGGCCAGAGGTGGGTTCTTCCCCGTAGGACCCCCCGCCCAGCGACCTGCCATTGCAGTGAGCGGAGCAATCCGCCGTGCACGTCCAGAGCCGCAAACACGAAACCCCGGCCTCCCACACTTGCGAACCCTAGGCAGAAGTAGCGAGACAGACGTAGATCGATCCTCTAGATCGCTGCATGTGTCTGCGCATGCAAGGACCGTGGGTACCGGAATAGCCTGGGCCTCATACCCAGCTATCTCCAGCCCAACAGGCTGCGGCATTTTTTCTTGCAGAATCGGCCCATCTCGGCCCAATAAAGAGTTCAAACGCACCTCCCGAGCCGCCCTGATCCCGATCCCCGGGATCGCCGGCGTGGTCGCCGCTGCCAACACCGGCGATGAAATTTTGCTTGCCCTCAAAGAGGCAGGAATCAAGCGTTTCCTGACTTGAAGAAGAAATTAGGGTTCTTTTGATAATCATTCTTGCAGCTTGGGTCATATCTAGATGTTTGGGAATAACGGAATTTTCAGAACTAAGGTACCTAGTCTAATGAGATAGAAGCAAATTTACTTTGATGAGTTTTCAGTGTTCGGTTATAACATTAAAAAATTTAACATGACAAGGACTGAACGAAATTTCCATCCTCACGACAACTAAATTTTCTATAAAAATCATTTGATTTGCCATGCTAAATATCTAAGGTACGATTTTGTAGTGAAATCCCTAAAATTGTATCAAGTTTGTAGCTAGTTAATTGAACCATCCGACTGAGTACTTGCTGTCGACCAATTCACCAAGAAACTCATCACACACCTTCGTGACCCAAAGTCTTGCTCAATTTTGGATCATGTGCATCATGCACCAACAGCTCATGACGTGCATGACCACGCATAGATCCCCAAGGCGCCTATATAAACATTAGTTCCGGTGCATGCATTTCCACACAGCAGCCCAAGTTAAACAAGCACAACATGGCTTCTTCCATGCCTTGCCTTGTCCTACTCTTGGGCATGGCATGCCTTCTGCAGGCATCACTACCGGCGGCCAACCCGGCGCCGTGGGAGCTGTCGGAGTCGGAGATGAGGGCCAAGTGGTCCAGGTGGATGACCAAGTACTCGAAGCGCTACTCTGGCCCCGAGGAGAAGGAGAAGCGGTTCCAGATCTTCAAGCAGAACACCAACTCCATCGGCGCTTTCGCCAGCCAGACATCGGTCAATGCCGTTGTCGGTGGGTTCGGGCCCCAGACCATCACCACGGTCACCGTCGGCATGAACAGGTTCGGCGACCTCAACCCCAGCGAGGTCGCCGAGCAGTTCACAGGGTCCAACAATACCGGCTTCATCCCAGAAGCTCCCACCTACCTCCCCTACGAGGACTCCCGGAAGTCATGCTGCGTCGACTGGCGCTCCCACGGCGCCGTCACCGGCGTCAAATTTCAGGGCACTTGCTGTAAGTCACGACGTTATATGTTTGCATATACGTGTTGATCAGTCCATTCTTTTAGCTGAGTATAATGGACATGTGGTACGTCCGTACATGGTGCCAGTGTCATGCTGGGCGTTCGCGGCGGTGGCGGCCATCGAGGGCATGAACAAGATCAGGACCGGTGAGCTGGTGTCGCTCTCGGAGCAGCAGCTTGTGGACTGTGACACCGGAAGTAGCGGCTGCAGCGGCGGCCGCTCCGACACCGCGTTGGGCCTCTTGGCGTCCCATGGTGGCATCACATCGGAGGAGAGGTACCCGTACAGCGGCTATTCCGGCAGCTGCGACGTGGACAAGCTGCTCTTCGACCACCAGGTTTCACTTTCAGAGAGATTTCGATGAAATTTACTGAATTTCATTTATTTCACAGGTCACTGAAATATTTACCTTTCGGCCAAAATATTTCAGCAATCTCACTAGTACACATAAATTCAAATATTAAATCGAATTCGAGTGAACATTTCGGCCTTTTGGCCGAAACACAAACCGTGTGGTGCTGAAATTTTTCTGAAACTGAAAGTGAAAACCTTCCAGGCATCCGTCACGGGGTTCAAGTCCGTGCCGCCCAACGACGAGCGGCAGCTGGCGCTGGCCGTGGCGCAGCAACCTGTGACGGTGTACATAGACGCCAGCACGTGGGATTTCCAGTTCTACTCCAGCGGCATCTACAAAGGCCCCTGCTCTGCCGAGGCCGGGAGGGTGAACCATGCTGTCACCATCGTCGGCTACTGCGAGAAGTTCGGTGAGAAGTTTTGGATAGCCAAGAACTCATGGAGCAACGACTGGGGTGACCAGGGATACATCTACCTCGCCAAGGACGTCTACTGGCCCACGGGCACCTGTGGCCTCGCCACCTCGCCCTTCTACCCGACAGCTTGACCCACGCCCCACCGCCATGCCTACGCACGTAGGGCTTTTGTGCGCAATATTTGCTTATGTTAACTGCATCATTCGGTGCACAGACGGTTAAGAAATAAGAATGGTCGATGGATGTGTGTGTGTGTAGTATTGTATCCTTATGGTACCGTTGTGATAATGCAAAATTTAATGTACTCAATAATATGATTGCTCGTTGAGTGTACTCGGTAAAGTATAACCTTTCTTCGACAAATCTGTCACATTTCACCATGACATGATCCCATGTTTGAAATAGTCAAACATGGAGCCAGCGTCAGCTCAAATGGGAAGCAAAAGTTGACTGAAAACTCAATATATATGTTATATGAACGGCCTGAATGTCAACTTCTTGATGAACTGAAACCTTCAACGTATGTATATTCAAACTGAATGAAATAATGCTACTAGATAGAGAAAAAAGGTAAGTGCATTTTCAACTGAATGACGATGGAATGGATCGATCGGTTCCCTCCACCTGGTCTATTTCTAGTACTCCTCTCCCGCGTGCAAGTCATCCTTGCTGGAAGCGCACTCCTCCGCCCCTACCGAAGATTCTTTTTTAGATGAAAGGCATAAAGCCCGACTTCAAATTAATGAAGCCATCAACCGGCTAGGATACATGGTGCTGATTATTACAAGGCAAAGCTTGGAGAAAAACTGAAAGATTACAAGAGAGATCACACTTCGGCAGACCAAAGTGCAAACTTGCCATTACAAAGCAAACAAGACCAAGCCGCCGGAGGTACATCGCAGACCAGAACAACGAATACAGAGACATCCACGGGGCACCGAACAAGCAGAGTAGAGGAGGATCGTGCCTGCAGGGAGGAAAACATTGGATGTGCCACAACCCGGACGTGCACATGCTAGAGAGGAGAACCCATCTCCTCTACATCCAAGCCGTGCCACAACACGGGGATGCCGTAAACCGGCCAGCGGAGCACGAGCGCGGCAGGGCAGCAACCACTGAAGGATAGCAGGGCACAGCACCTCATCTCCACCACCACCGGAAACCCGAGCAAGCACTGCACCGCAGCCGCCACCAACCAAGAACTGCAGGCACCCAACCCAACCCCTACCCCTAGCCGACGCCTCCAAGGAGGAACACGACGATGGAGCGCCGTCGACAGCCGGCCAAAGCCTAGATTTTCACCTGGGGAAAAACAGGGGAGGGGGAGGTGGAGGGGGGGAAACTCAACGCGCCCTTAGGAGGGGATTCGGAGCCGATGCACCGCCGACGTCGAGGTCGATGCGGAGTCGACCAGGGGATTCCCCCGTTCCAAGCTCCCTCCACCGCACCTCAGGGGCCAGATTTTGCAGCACGGGCGCGCTGAATCCGGACAGGAGAGGGGATGTAGAGCAGATGGAAGGGGCCGGAGATCCGATCTGGCGGAGCCACCGGAGCAGCCCGCAGCAACGAGGTACCTCCGCCGTCCAACCGCCGCCCGCACGGCCGGAGGGACGACCAGCACCCACAACGCCCTCCACCGGAGAGAGCGGCGCCACCCACCAGATCCAGGGCCGCCGCCCTGGGAACCAGCGCTCCTTGCGCGGATGCAGGCCAGCAGGGCCTCGCCACCACCATCACTGGGGCCGCACGGCGGCCGGCGGCGCCCTCAGGTGGCGGCGGGGAAAGGGGAGGCGAACGAGAGAGGGGCTCGGGAGGCTAGGGTTTGGTCGCCCCCGAGTCGCCCACTCGGGGCGACGCGAGAGCCGGGGGGAAGGATAGATCTTCACCGTACCGAAGATTCTGTTGCGACTCCTCCTCCTAATCCTCCTCCAGTGAGTTTCTCATCCTCCATGACCGATGGTGACCGAGGTGCGCATGCTGTGGATGTACTCTGGGTGCTGACCTTAAGTTGGAGACATATTGCTCCATGCATGGATTCTTCACGGTGGAGCTCAAGTCCACGCCACCGAGCTCTAATTGACGTCGGGGAAGCAGAAAATGAGGGAGAGAATATATAGTGACTAACACAGATCATATAGGCCGGCAAGAGTCTTCATGGATAATAAGCTTTATATGCGATGGTTATAACTCTAATCCGAGCACAGTAATCAAGACGGCTTGATGATCCATCAAATATAGGTTGTCCATCTATAATGATGAGGAAATTCAGCCGCCGAGAATAGGTGGAGCATTGATCATAGACGGCTCACTCGACTAGGCCGTCTGAGATGGCTGAATGTCTGCAAATATTTGGGCGGGTCACAAGATAGACATACCAAATCTGTCTGATTTGTTGTGGCTAGTTTCCATATGTGTAGTGACATTATCGAAATATCCCCTCATAGTTTTGAATATCAATTTCAAAAATGTAATGGCCATGTTGTTGTAAATTTAGCAAAATACTATCATGAGGACTTCTTCAAATATAACCAGTTATCCAGCTCCATCTAAGTGACAACCATGTTGGAATTGATCTCAGATTGTTGTTAACCGAGAGAAAATGGGGGAGATAAAGTCTCCTCCCCCAACGATTGTGCTCTGATCGGAGGCACCCGATCGATTTTTGGTTTGGTCCACCTAGCGTCACATATACAAAGGAGGTCAAGCTGTACTTGCAAGACAAAAGATCATGTTTTCTTTAGTTCTAAATAAAAGGATTACGCTAAAAAGCTATACCTTGTACCTAAATTCCATATGCTAAACTAGTTGGCATGAAGGAAGTTGTCTTTTGTCTTGCGTCAAGATGGCAATGGGGCCCTGAAACCCGCGTCCCCGCGGGTTTACCCTATTAGGGGACGGGGATGAGCGACTTTCTATCCCCGCGGGGCTGCTCGTGGGTACATTATTAAACCCGACATGTTTCGCGGGTTTAAACCCGTTTGAGTACTACCCGAACCCGAAACCCGACAAAACCCATCAAAATACATTATTCAGCACGCACCGATCCATATTGACTCAAGTGGCCCAAAGCCACAGTGCCCGAGGAGCCGAGCCCCACAGCATCAAGGCCCTGGAGTACAAACCAACCCCTCACTCGGTCGTTGCAGTGTTGCTCGCTCTTTAGGACTCTCTCTCCCACACAACACGACACCTAAACCTAAACCTAGGTCACCCAGCCGTCGCCTGCTGCTGTAATATGCTCCTGTTTTTTTTCCAAATGTTGTTGTTTTCATTGACTGCTCGTGGGGACGGGTTTCCCGTGGGTTTTGAAACCCGATGGGTTTAGGGTACGAGCAAAAATTTAACCCCGCGCACATTGATGGGAACGGGGACGGGTTTGCGATTTTCTCGTGGGGATGGGTTTGGGCAAGCAAAGCCCGGTGGGTTTCGTCCCCGTTGCCATCTTGATTCTTGCGAGACATCATTGAGCAATCATTTGGTTATCTTTGAGATGAAATGTTGTATGGTTCATGGCAGCCAAGCTACTCGACCAAGAAGCAAGAATGATAATTATGCATATATATGTATTTGCATAGGCAATTCGTGATAAACACTTGGGATGGTTTGAGGGAGCAAAGTATGCCCTAAGATGTGTCGCGCAAGTGTGGATATGGACTATGGAGAAGCACTAAACTCTGACTAGTAGAATGTCCGTGCGTTGCTACGGGCACATGTCGAATGCTTGTGCATTGCCATAGAATAATAACAATAAATATTATAAGCATGGTGGCATCTATTCTCCATCATACAGCGACAAATAGAAACTCTATTCCACTTCTTTCCTTCTCGGCAATCTTCGTGTCTTTAACCAGCCGTATCGCTCGCCACCAAATATATGCCATCCATGATTAAATAGTACAAGGTACACAAAGCTTACAATGGCTTAGACTTGTAATGCACGTCTTAATTTTAGCAATAATAACATCATCGATGCAACCTTCAATAATAAGTTGATTGTAAATAGAAAAAGTTTGGTTTATCTTAAATCAATACTTCTTTTACAATGCCATGAACCTGGTGTCAGTAGAAAACTCTAAAACACCCAATGCAATGGGAAGAAAAAATCGAATATATCATTTTTTTAGAGAAAAAGATCTCATGAAGATCAAGTATTCACCTCTCTTCAATTCATACGTGATTGCCTCCGAACAACAAACTTACACAGGGATATTGATCAAAATATGATTGTATTTCACGTGCATGAGTGTAGTGCGTTGGTTGTGAGTGCTTGAGTCAAATAATATACTCCCTCCTTTCCATATTATTTGTCTTCAATTTGTCTACATATGGATATATCTAACCTAGACTACAAACTTCAGAAGGGGCTCGCATGGATGACCCAACCACTAATAAGATTACATCACAAAAAACGATATAACTGTGGAGAGGAAGCACGGAGCCACAAAGCAACAATGAATAGTCGAGCACAACACCGAGGACATGACAGTTTCGATTTTGCATACGGGCTTGATAGGAGAAGGTTGCAAGCCACGCAACGACGTAGTTCAACGCAACATTCAGGGAGCACCGCTTGCTGAAAACTGTCCTCATAGCCATTGTTGCCGCAGTGGCCTCGCCGCCCACAGCTCTGACTTCTTTGTGACAGTCAGAAACCAGCAAAGGCACACACATGGGTGCACCGGACCTTCGATGCTAGAAGGACAAGACGCAACCCCGCTCTGCTTGCTAACATTCTCGTTCAGGTGAATGTACTGATTGTATATACATGAGATATTCACATGTACGCCAGAAATCCACTATCATAAATAAAACACTTAGTCTACAAATAGACATTAGATAAAAAAGAAGCAAAGTGTATTGCGGGCTTATTAATGTTTTGGCGAAAGAAGAACAGAACAATTTACATATGTACAACAACTTTCGCATCACAAACCTAAGGCACCTGAGGAGATATGGATGACAACAGCAGCATGTGACAGTAATCCACTAATCACTGCTATCATCCAGTACAGAAATAAATCTTGAATCTGCACAAACAATTGATGTCATGAAGTGCAAAAACTAAAGCTTGAAGCTTTGCAAAATATCAACTGATTTAGAGAACTAATTCGGTAGATTTAAAACAATTATA